ACTATTTTTGTTGACCTTTGTCCATGGAAGGTCCCTGCAAAATTTCATTGAAATTGGTTCAGGGGTTTTGGAGAAGAAGTCGAAAATGTAAATTGTTTACGGACGGACTTACGGACGACGAGGGACAAAAGGCGATCGCAATAGGTCACTTGAGACTTTGTTTCAGGTGACCTAAAAACGGAAGTAAATTTTACTGATCAAAAACAGAAGTAAATTTTACTGATCAAAAACAAGTAAATTTAACTGATCAAAAACGGAAGTAAGTTTTACTGATCAAAAACAGAAGTAAGTTTTACTGATCAACGACGGAAGTAAGTTTTACTGATCAAAAACAGAAGTAAATTTTACAGGTTAATGAACAGCAACACAGTTCCAATCACTAAACTTTGGTCTCAAAATATCTAAGTTCATTAAATTTTGTAGAAATTTTGTCCTAGGCTGGTATGTCTGCAGAAGATGATTGGATGTAGTGTTAATCTTGGCTCTTTTTGGGCTCCAGGACCTTTACCCAGGATGCGAGGGTTTGATTGACTCTCATGACAAATAGGAACATCAACAAGCACATCCCAAATACTGTGAAACAGGACACGGCCTCGAACACGAAACGGGGCGCAAAAATCTTCCACACCATAAGATGTCTGCGATGAAGCCCTGCCGCACATACTGCTCCAAGTACCTGAAGAAAAAAAATTGCCTTCAATATATTTCATCATATTTTAGATCCTTAAAAAAGTTGAAACATATACTAAACAAGATAATGCAAAGCGGGACATTACCCCCCGCGACCCGCTGTTTAAAAGAAAGACACACAGTCATATATATATATATATACATGAATTATAAATCAGAAAAATTCTCCTTACGGACGAAGAAATATTATAAAAAGAAAAATTCTTAACAACGAGTCTATAAACATGTATATATATATGTTAATATTACAATAACAGGTATTAACTTCATTCCACCACTGTTACTGCTATTTTGATGTAGATCATCTTTTACAAAACAATGATGACTTCCCCATCAGAAAAGGCTTGAGAAGAGCACTAGCTTCATAAGTGTAAAACAAATCCCGTTACTATGTATACATCTTGAATGCAATAGAGTGCTAGGTTGATAAGTGTACAAGTTAAATATCAATTTGTTATTTCTAATAGTTTTGATATCATGCTTCAGAAACCTCAAATTTTGTATTTTTGCCTTTTTCCATGGCAACAGATTTTTTTTATCCAAAATGAGAACTCCTCCAGTAGCAAAATGCACCAAGAGAGTGCTAGCTTGAACAAAGTGTACAAAGTTTCAGGCTGTTCTTGAACAATTTTGTTGCAATGCTCTGGAAACCGTGAAATTTTTAATTTTGCCTAACTAGAGTGATAGGATGATAAGTTTCAGGTACATGTAGTTATCTTGAAAGGTTTTGACATTTTACTCCGAGAACAGCAGAATTTGTGGTTTTGCCGATCTGTTTCCATGGTAACCAAAAAAATAAATAAAAAAAATTGAGAACTCTTCCATAGCAAAAGGCACTACCAGAATGCTAGCTTGATAGTTATACAAAGTTTCAGGTAGTTATCTTAAATGGTTTTGGAGTCATGATCTATACAACTGACATTTGTAATTTGGCCTATCTGTTTCCATGGTAACAGAAAAAAGTATTTAAATGGGGAACTTCTCCATAGCAAAAGGCACTACTAAAGTAGTAGCTTGATAACTGTACAAAGTTTTGAGTAGTTATCTTGAACGGTTTCAGAACTCTGGTCCGGAAAATGCCTATGCACGGACGCACAGATGGACGGACGGACAGACGGAGCCCAATTTAATATCCCCCGCAAACGCGTTTCGCGGGGGATAACAATTAACAGTATGTGAATGATTTAAACTTGTCAAAAAGAAGTTTTGTAATTGCCCAAAATGAATTTCTTAGACATATGGTGAACACACCTGTTCATTAAAGCTACAGTGAACTGTAGCATGATCCTAGTCCTAGTAAATGTATTTCTCAAATAACTTTTGCTTGTGTCATTTTTTTTGTCAATTTTTTTTATACAACTTCCCCACCACTAAGCCTGAAGTCTTGTATTTGGTCTGTAGCTTAAATTACCAATTCATATTACAGTTTATTGAATATTGATTAGTTAAGGATTTTAATTGTTTCTGATCGAAGCAACTAATTTGCTGTCATTTAGCTGTGGTTGATGCTACAGAAATACAAATGTACATTCACACCACAGAGTTACCCACCTTGATACCACTAAAAAGTGTCAGACATGTAAACAGCTGAAACATCCTCTTTTTCAATAACTCTTCATCTTCAAACAAAGCGAAGTCTCCCTTCGATGTCCTGTCGAGCTCCACATTCGTCATCTGAGTGGCAAAGGTGCTCTTTGCCAGTGGCCAGAACACCCAAAGTGGTGCGAGGACCCCCAACAGAACGTGGGCAGCAAAGGTGTTTAGATGTATCAGCATAGCGGGGAGGGCATAGTTTTGGAAGTCTCCATGGAAACCAACAAAGGCTGCCTCAAACCTGATGGCTGGGACGGTGGCCTGATGTCCGGTCGTGTAGAAGTAGAGGCTTGACAGGACTGAGTGGAGCACAACAGCACCTACCATATCCCAAGCCACTACAAGGCAAGCACCACAATCAGTAAGATATTTGCTTTTGGTATCATATGATCAGTTTGTTGTTTACAGTCAAAGTTTTAGTTATTTCAGTTTCTATATGAGAAGGAAAAATCAAACTTTTTGTACACAATTTTATATATAAACACTGAAATATAATATACAAGTCAAAATGAGATAACTATAATAGGTAACTAAACAGTCAAATACTGCATAGGAAGAGTGATTTATATCAGTTGTTAGAACTTGTTTTATAATTGTTGTACACTATATACAGTTCTAACCTTTTTTTCAATGTTTGATTTCTATCTAGAAAGTTGTTTGTGTTTGACTCAAATGACTAAAGACGTTGGGGCGATTTCCCCACTTTTGAGGACTAAATTTGAAACCTTGGAAATAGAGCGACTGTTGGTATTTATACTATATTATATCATATAATATTTCTATTTAAGTCTGAATGTTTTAGCAACAGGTAATACATTTTGTGTGTGCTATCAGTATAATAACGGAGAAAATAAAAGATTACCGCTGTGACCTTCCGTTGTTGAACTGATCAGGTGTGCAGTATACAACTCCAGGACGATGTACATGGTCAGGGTGAGCAAGAACAGACTCGGAGCCACTCCGTCACCTAGCAACATAGTTAGTAGGACGGTAACTATGGAAGCCACACTAATGATGGCAGCGGAGAAGACTGTGGCCAGGCCGTACACCATTGGTGGCTGCTCCTCCTGGCGGTGTTGTAAATTCTGCTTTACCTGGTTGTACAGCTGAGGGATGATGTTTCCATCTTTATTTGGGATGCTGTAGGAATCTTTGTTTTGTCGAATCATATGGATGGTCAGTGGTTTGACTAAAACTGAGACTACAGATATGGCAGTAAGTATGTATACAGACTTTGGCAGGAATGTCTGCTGCCACACAGGCAGCGAGTCTAGGGCTTTCTGTGGCAGGGCACACAATGCCCAGTGTAGGCTACAACAGCATGCACACAGTGGCAGCAAATACCGAACACACTGAACACTTCCAGACATTCCGTTCAGGTTACCGAAGTGGAACAGAAGCCTCCTTGTAAGAAACACAGTCAAAGCTAGGCAGCCAACACTGAAGAAATACCGTAAATTACGCAGGTGTTCTAAACTGTCAGTAAGGCCCGACAGCGGACGTAAGAACAAGGACAACTCACAAGTATGTTGCTCCTCCCTACAGGCCTTGAAGTTCATAGATAGTCGAAGACACAAGCAGAGCCCTGTTGTCATAGCAATCGTCAACATGGCTGGATGAGTTAATATCAACATAAAGTCGAACGGTTTCTGTTTTTTGTGTTTTGGTTTTGGATCATTTGGACTTGTGTCATGTTTTTTAAAAGTCTGAGAAATAACCTTGACACAGTAAATGACTATCAAACTTTGCGCTAAGAATAGAAGAATGGCATCTTCATGAACGACAAAACTGTTGCTGAAAAATGATATGAAACATATGAGGCACACAATGGCATTACAAGTACACGTCACCAATGGGAAACCAGAATCTTTCTTCTGGTTTATCATGAGATCGGAGATCAATTTTGGTCTTTTCGGGGAAAATTTAACATTTATAATGATGAGTGCGACGATGTTGACGAATCCTAATAAAAATACCATAAATGAGCTGATGGTCTCCCCCACAAAGAAGCAATGGAAGACTGCATACACAATGTAAACCATACAAAACAGTATGACAACAATCACGGTGCTAGGAACTTCAAACTTTTTCCAAAATGACAGCTGAACGAAGTAAACGTTGATTAGGACAGTGAGAAGGAGTGACATGATCCCAATGGAAATGGAAACAAGGTCAAACTTTGCCCAGATGCCCTGACAAATGGCCTTGACCTGTGAAATGTAGGAGTCGTAAACCTGCTTCAGCTCCTCCAGCTGTCGGACCATGTGTTGATTCTCACCCGATTTGACCATGGAGGTCACCAGACCCTGAAGGTTGCGCTCCGCATTTTCCAACATGTTGTCCAGCTCGTAGTACTTGTTGATGGGAAAGTCTGAGGACACCTGGGCATACGCCTTCAGGTAGAGGCTGACTTGGACAGCATTCAGACGTAATGCTTTCACAGCATGAAATACCTGCAATCATAAAGTTATAGCTTTAACTTAAACATTACTTTCAGGATGTGTGTTTTATATCTTTCCTGTATGAAATAACATGTTTTTTAACAGTGTACCTTTCTGTGACATCTTGTGTATTTTCCACGAGATTACGTTTTATACTTACGAGAGTGTGTGAATTCACCTGTGTATTTGGCTGTAAGACTACATATATATGTATTTGTCTGAAACTGTGATTAGAACTGTATGACATTGTTAGTATTTAATTATCCATAAGATATCAATTTTATTTACCTGTGTGTTCATTATAATCTGTGTGAAATTGTATGTATTTACTTGCATATACACCTGAGTATACAATGTTTTAACTGCAAGATTGTATGCATTAAAATGTCCATTTATTTTCCAGTATGATACTGTACTGATGTACCTGTGTTTTTCTTTGTGAGATTGCATTTATTCCCCTGAGATACTGCTTGATTGTACATGTGTGTATTTATCTGTATGAGATTGTGTTTTATCTTTTGGTGTGTTTTTAGGGTGAGAATGCGTGTATGCTCTTGTGTGTACTGTATACCAGGACATTTTTCGCCAAGTCAAACGATTTTGTGTATCTATATGTGCATGTATCTGTGAAAAATAACTGTGTTTATCACCTGCATGAGCTTGAGTGCATTTAAAAGTGTATGTTTAAATACCTTTGCGGGTTGTATTTACCTGTTTGAGTTTACTGGTACTAGTGGCCCACCAAGGACAGTGGTTAAACAGATCAGTGATGATCCGGCCCAGGTTTGAAAAAGGAATCGGAGCTCCCATCAATAGAGCCAGCGTTGGCACAAAGTCTATCTGGGATATGGTCTCATGGATGTCCTACAGTACAAATAACATTGGGAAACATTCTCAAAAATGTCCTTCATTGATTCAATGAGCAATTTTTATGTTCCCCCTTTTTTTGAATGTAAAAATAATGTGACTTAATTTTACTTTTCAAAGTTTTGGCAAAAGAACTTTTTTGAAACAACTTAAAACATTTAAAACAAATGAATTAACTCAAATATATGCATTCAATTCAATTCAATTTGTTATAAAGGAACCTGTCTCACTGCATTCTTAGTGCTAGGAATGCAATGAGCTTTGGCTTCAGGGGTTTGTGATGATATTTTACATTGATTATGTCATTAAGATAGTACCTTTATTATCAGTCAGAAGATGTTCTTTTTTATTTAATATGTAAAAGAAAACATTGTGGTTTCGGTACAGAAGCGAATTCTGATGCCTGCATGCAATTTTTATTGCTATAAGAATGAAAGTGCAGTAGTTTTAAGACATACTTAAAAATTTCAAAATACTTCAAATCTCCCTAGCAAGTGCCAAGAGTTGTACAATATACATGTCTTTAGAAAGCTTCCCTGTAGGTTAATTTTGAAATCTTCAACTAATCTGTCCTTAATTTTCATAGTAAATAGCAAATCTTCTAACCCTCAGACAGGAATCCCTAAAGTGTGCTTCATTGAATCTTAGAATATGTTTGTATGCCACTTGCACGGCATGACAAAAAAAATATACTGTGTTCATTCCTAATACATGTAATAGTATAAGCCCATGCTAAATAATAAATCCACACCCTTATTAAACAAATCATACCGGCTTAGAAGAAGTAGAAGGGGAGGTAATCTGTACAGGGCTGTAGATAAATAATCCAGCCTCCAGTTCATCATCGCTGTCTCCACCATGATCCCCAGTCGCCGTCATCCCATGGTCCCCCATTACAAACAGTATAGTGTCATCCTTCATACGACTGGTTATGTTGCTGAAGTAAATAGAAGTTATAAAGAATTCACTGAAGTAAACACAGAATGGGAAATGATCGTTAGACGCAGTTCTATTTTACATACATATTATGTTATTCTACTTATAGAACTACAAGGTAATTCCAACAAGGAACAAGATAATTTACTTATTATAAAGATATTCAAATTTTAACAACAGATAGAATTTGGCTTTAAAAAAAAAAAAATAGCCACAAAAATTATGAAACAAGTTTATCAACTTATAACAAATCTTGTTGGCCCAGATGGAAGTGTGGTGGAGGTCGTACAAGGGGAGGGAACCAGAGTACTTGCAAAATCCATATGGTCGGGCAAGTGACCCATACATTTCAGTTTTTTAGTCTAGGGAGTCAAATCCTGGCCATCTTGCCTTTTAAGTGAAACTAAAGATATTTGTGTTGTGCCACCCAACCTTAACAATAATAATTTAATAACGTAATGTTGCAATATTAGCGTGCAACAGGCAATGTTTTTCATGTAATAATTACTAAATATATGTGGCATTTAAAACATTTTCTTGTATGTGTCTACTTGTTAATGTTCTGCTTTGATGTCTTTTCTTTAAGTACAATGATCTTTGTATTTATTCCAATGACAACTGGTTTTAAATATTTTACCTGATGACTTCATTCATCTGGCTTAACTTGTCTGCCATAGCTGGATGGTCAGGTCCATAGCGATGACCACAATGATCAACCCCAAGGAAATGAGCAATTGTCACTGACCAATCCTTTTTGTTCAGCTGGCCATACAAATGCTTCAAGATGCCATTATCAACTGTATGCAAATCTTTAACATTAAAAGAAGGAAATGGGTACGCCTTCTGGAATCTCCCTGGAAACAGGCTCATCCAGGTATCGTCTCCTAGAAACTTGATCACCTTTCCTTGCTTTACCAATTGGTCAATGACATTGTCCTCTGTTATCGCAGAACTTGCAAAGTTTGCTCCAGCATCAACGAATGTTGGTAGACTCCCCGTTGTCAATCCTTTCAGTCTTTGAAACGTTGTAGTTGGAGGGTCAGCAATGAATTTGTATAATTTTGAATTTGTAGGTTTACTCTTCAATAAATTTTTAATAATTGGGAGTTTATTTTTATATGGAATATCTCTTTCTAATGTGTGGTCATATCTCATGAAGTCAAACCTCAGCGCATCTATCACAACGATAATTGCCTTGTTGAAACGACTGTGCATCCAGCATCCCTTCGTACCGTGGTGGTCAGTGGATAAAGTGAAGTCCACGACACACGAACTGTTATGATCTACAACAACTCTTTTCAGCAGGAAGCCTTTGGCAAATATTAACAGGCTGCATGTGTACATAAATACAAGAAAGATTAGTAGGAAGAAATACTTCACAAATAGCGCCATCTTTACCTGCTTTACATATTTACTTCGCCTGTGTCACATTTTCTTAACGGAACTCTTTTTTATACCGGCAAGTCCGATTCCAATATTATATATTTATTTCCGGATCCTGCAATTTCAAATAAGAAAATATTTTCCGGATGGTTTAATTTAAAACCACCATACAGCATTAAATCGATTATTTAATATACAAGTGATAATTGTTTGGCTCTTTTAAGTCCAGTGGAATTGTTTTTAATGTTGCATCGAATTCGTATACCTTTGTCCCTTTATTACACACTCACTGGAAAGTTTGATATAGAGTAGCCTCCCCTGAAAGGCGCATTTGATTCAGTGTTTGATGGCGGGAGGCTGGGTGTTATTTTAACAACTGAACTAATGTCATTCGATAGCTGTTTGGTGGATTTTGTTCGTGTGGAGACTGATCCATACTATACATCTTCCCTCAAACGCATCCTTGAGATAAGACCAGAACTCCATGAAAAGAAAACGTCGAACATACCTGATGTAATTTATTTACGTGGTTAAAGTGAAAGTAGGGTTTGTAACATTCACAGGGACCCGATAATTTGTTACAGTAGGTTTATTTGGAGAGTGATATTGCCCCCCCAGCCCAACCCCCTCAATTGACCAGCATTTGAAAGAGGGGGAGAGTTAGTTTTACCAAGAGTTGATAAAAAAACACTTTTTAACACGTTTATTATTACTCTCACATCAGCAGATCAGGATATTCAAACAAACCTGCAGATTATCATGTCCCTGTAATGACATGTATGTTATTATATAATTGCATGTTTATATATTTCAAAGATTTTGTTATGTAATTACACAGTGGCGGATCCAGAGACCTATCTGGGGGGGTNGTTGTAGAGTCACCACAGTGAGTGGCATATACCAAGTAACGTGGGTTTTTTTTATCCTCCAAACAGTCCAGTGTTTTTCGTAAATGAAATAGGGACGGACCTACACATTTTCTCATATTGCTTTCTGATGAGCCTATTATGTCAAAGACGTTAATTAGATTTTGTGGAAAGAATGATGCCCTTTTTTATTCCAAGAGTTTTAAAAAATTTAAGTGTTTTCAATTCACTCTATTCCCCATTTAGTAATAAAATTTTGAATTATTGTAGACTGAATCTATTACCCAAATTCAAGATTATTATACCCATATGCAGGGTTGTACCTAACCTGTACTTCAGAGCCTACAGTTACACTTGCATTAGCCTCTGTCACGCTAATCCCTATTATATTTAATATAACATGTAAGATATGAAATGGTTTGTAGACATAAGCAACAAGTCCCAAGTACATGTAGATGACAGTAGCAGGACCGAGCTGTCCCAGCCTCCTGTCAGCAAATGCATTGCATTCATGTACATTGTCTGTAAAGTAAAGCATATACGTGTACTTACATATATTAAAACATTGTGTTTTTTTTACAAGTTTCATACTGTAGACTTTCAATATTTCAGAATGCATGTTTTCAAAGACAGTATGCAGTAGCCCTGTTTTTTATAATGAATTCATATGGAAATTGTGACCGAGTAAAATTCTTCAAACGACCTGGAGACCCTGGCTATGTGGAGGGTGTCACGACTATAACCAAGGAGTGTCAGCTGGCCCAAGGGAGACAATTACAAATAAGTCACTTACCAATAGAGGATACAGTCTGGTCTATAGATAGAGTTATAGACAAAACAGGTAAAGACATTTTTTGTTTTGTGCATGATGGCTTCGTAGCTGTGAAGGAATACTTCTCCTGACATTGAAAGACGCTTTCTCATAACTAGAGCAATGGGCATTAAGTACTTTGGATTTTATAATAGATGTAAGTAGAGATGCATAACTTAAATTCGCAGACTTAACTGGGAAATCACTGATTTTCTGGGGGGTGTAATTTTGTTGATTTTGTGGGTAATCATCATCCACAAAATCATAAGTCCACAAAGTATTTACAAGTTTGAAATAAAGCAGTTCTCCGTTTGATTCTGAATTCATGTTACCCACGGAATGGTGTTTTGTAAAGCAACCACGAAATATGGGCCCACGAAAATACATTTTACACAGTAACTTTTTAATACATGTGACACTGAGGAACACAAATGTAACAGCTTTTCTCTTTGTGGTAGCTTGGTTGAGTTTTTGAAGCAAAATTTTCATTGCAAGCATTCTTTTACCAGAATCAGAAAAATGAATCTAAATGTGATTTTATATTGATTTGTATTCAGAAATTAAGACTTATTCTTGTAATTATCATTCATCCAATGATCTCAAAAGACACTCACTTATAGGTGTGTATAGATCTTTATATTCTCAACAGTTTAGATTTCTATCATTACGTTCAATTCTTGGGAGATTCTAATTCTACAGAGGAAGTTTCAAGTTCAGAAGGTAAAAATAATAGGGAGATCCCACATGTACATACTTTTTTTTATCTATGTTATGTATATATCTCCAATTGTTTAAATTAAATTGTTTCTTTGACCTGTCATAAGGAACATGATTTTATAGACAAGTTATTTTTCTAACACACTTTTTGAACACAGACACCACAGATGTTATGCTAGTAATACAGGACCGATGTTCCCTGGTGGTCGGGTTTACTGTATGGGACACATCAGCTACCACCCTATCAGATCATGTCTACCTGGCTCTGTGTACAGCCTGTCTGTTCCCTGTAGTACACCGGCCCCGCCGACCTCGTTACTTCTCTTTCAGAGACAAATATCTAGCCAAGTAAGTTCTCTGAAAGAATTAAACAACCAGTTCCAGTTCAACGTTTATACTAATTATTAAGAAAGCGAACAATACAATAAATGCATAAATATTCATGTGTATGCTAATTCTAATTAAATATTCATGTGTATGCTAAGTCTAATTAAATATTCATGTGTATGCTAATTCTAATTAAAATTTGCTTCCTTTTCATTTGTTAAATGAAATTTACACATATGGAAGTCATTGAGAAATGCACGCTTTCTTTATTTGAAATAAGTGAAAAAGTTTGTTGGAATGATTTTCTTAACAATTACTTGTACATAACCTTCTGTTGATAGGATCTGTATGTCAGATGTAGATGGCCTAGGGATCACCTGCATAATGGGACCAGACCGGACAATTTGTCAGATGCCCTCACACTCCGTCATCGCCAGTACAGACACACCACCTGTCGTCACCAGTACAGGCACACCACCTGTCGTCACCAGTACAGACACACCACCTGTCGTCACCAGTACGGGCACACCACCTGTCATCACCAGTACGGGCACACCACCTGTTCTCACCAGTACAGACACACCACCTGTCATCACCAGTACAGACACACCACCTGTCATCACCAGCACGGGCACACCACCTGTCGTCACCAGTACAGACGCACCACCTGTCGTCACCAGTACGGGCACACCACCTGTCATCACCAGTACGGGCACACCACCTGTCCTCACCAGTACAGACACACCACCTGTCATCACCAGTACGGGCACACCACCTGTCGTCACCAGTACAGACGCACCACCTGTCGTTACCAGTACGGACATACCACCTGTCGTCACCAGCACAGACACACCACCTGTCCTCACCAGTACAGACGCACCACCACTGTTTAGAGAGTGCAATGTCTGCCACTTCCGGGCTGAGAAGGAAGTGTTTCACACATGGTTTGTTATATGAGTACTCTGCTTTATAAAACTATTCTATTAGATAAGCCAGTCAAAATGGTGAAAATACACAAATGAGCTATCGCCATCACGATTTGCCATATGTCTGTCTATACATGTACTGGTACTTTCTATACAGGATCAAATAGCACAGTCAGTGAGGTGTTTATGTGTGACGATTCAATGACTAATATGATATGTTCTCTGTCACCTTCATCACTCATTGTCATCAGACAAATGACCGATAAAGTTCACTTACATGTAGGTATAAGTACAACATATGTACAGTGGCAAGTTCTAAATCAAACTGGGGGCTGTTAGACTCTCATGGATCTGTGATCAGTTATTAAACAAAGTGTAGCCGAATTGATTCATGAATTTGATGATCACTTCGTACATTTATAACAACTACATAAGTGTAGACATTCGTTTATATCGTAGCCAAAATCGATTTGGTATGAACATTTTGATGTCTGTAATAAATGTTTGATGTGGGACGATGCTGTGTCATACAGTGACCTTGTTGATTTAATTTAACTATTTCTTGTTTTTGATCAGCGAAGGGTGTGGAGCAATGCTGTACTGTACACAGGCTTGTCAGGAGACTGATTGGGGACAGGAAGGACAAACAACCTTATACAATCACTCAAAATGGTGTCACCGACTCAAGCTATATATGGAAGAGGAAAAGCAACTTATTGATCTACCCTTCACTTTCACATCAGGTATGTGTTTTTGAAGTAAAATATTCTTTGTTTATTATTTTTGACTGGTCAATTAACAAGGTGAAAAGAGCTGTAAAAGAAAGACAGAAAATACAAAAACAGAGACAAAAGAAAAGAGATGAGAGCCAAACCAAATGCAAAGGTTGGGTCACAATACCCTATGTGAAAGGGATGTCTGAGGCGTTTGCCTTGATGATGAGGAAACACCATTTCAGAACTCTGATGAGACCATTGACAACGTTCAGATAGGTACTTGTGCACCCCAAAGACAAGACTGACATTCTAGAAAAAAACAGGAGCTGTATATCAAATTACATGCAAAAATTGTCAGCAGTCCTATGTAAAAGAAACTGAAAGGAAATTTGGTACACCTCTGAAAGAATATCAAAAGGATGAAGAGAAAATGAGCAACACAAATTTTACCAGAACCACACGCAAAACATTCGCCACCCCGTACAAAAAACTGGCATTAACAGATCATGATAACACAAAATCACGTGGTCGATTGGGACAATGCCAACAGAGTTGAAAGGGAACAACATTTAAAATCGAGATAAATCAAAGAAGCAATAAAAATCAGGAAAACTCAAAACATGAACAGAGACGAGGGGGGACATCAGCTGAGTCATCTGTATGACTCGATACTGACATAACAGGAGAGGGGGCTAGATATATACACTACCAGTAACCTATTTGATACAGGTTTTATATGCTCCTTATCTATAGGCAAAACCTCCCGGGTTGAGCGACATAAGAAATAAACAATTTCGTCTCATTATTGTACAGGTAAACAATGCAAATCGCTCACTCAGTCATAGCTTGACCAAGGGACCAGTCAGTCTTGAAATGTTGTGACACATTTAGTACATACATTTTTTGTGTATAGAGTAAAACTTTGATATTCAAAATTTTGTATTTCTTAGAACTTGATATAATCATTTCTTCATCTTTTTATGGTAGACACGACACATCCTGACTTTGGTGTACAGCAGCTAGAGGCGTTCCTACAAAGGATTGGGTTGTTTGGTCGAGGCTTGTGGCAGTGGGTCTGTCCTGTCACCTCAGGTTTACCTGTTACCCAGACACATGGTAAGGAGCTGTGGTGACCATAGTCAGTATATAATAGGGCTGCAACGATACCCATACCTCATTATACAATACCCCCAGTACTTATAGCGGTATAAAACAGGGCTGAAACGATACACATACCTCATTATACAATCCCCCCGGTACTTATAGTCAGAATATAATAGGGCTGCAACGATAAACATACCTCATTATACAATCCCCCCGGTACTTATAGTCAGAATATAATAGGGCTGCAACGATAAACATACCTCATTATACAATCCCCCCGGTACTTATAGTCAGTATATAATAGTGCTGCAACGATACACATACCTCATTATATAATACCCCCGGTACTTATAGGGGTATAAAATAGGGCTGCACCGATACACATACCTCATTATATAATACCCCCGGTACTTATAATCAGTATATAATAGGGCTGCAACGATAAACATACCTCATTATACAATCCCCCCGGTACTTATAGCCGTATAAAATAGGGCTGCACCGATACACATACCTCATTATACAATACCCCCGGTACTTATAGCGGTACGCTGCTTACAGTACAAAACGAATCATGATGCAAATATCTGCTTGAAAAGTCAATTTCATAATGATTGAGTGCAGGATTTTTACAAGAAAGTATCATAATACGAAACAATATACTGTTGCAGCCCTAGTATATAACATTTAAATGTTTATAGTTTAGAATAACATTTTTATTACTGAATTTCAAGGAATTAAGGGTAAACTGTTCAACAAGAATTAAAATCTTTATAATTTATGATGATTTTGTATTCAAACTTTTCAGGTGGTCTACCTTACAGATGAATATGTTTCAGAATTGTTATTTTCATGCTTAAATTGCTGAGAAATACTTGCTTGAGTTAAAATTAAACCAGCATTTCTTTCCATACACATTCCTGACATGTGCTGAATTCTAGGATAAGTAGAAGCCCAAAGAAAACAAATACTTATATTGCAGGCATCTGACGCTCCTCATAATAAATGATGTATTTGAAAGGCAATTTGCTGTTATAATACTGGAATCAGTTTTAATATTGTGAATAGCTGATAAAAAAGAGAAATAGAACATCAGACTCTTGTTCTGGTAATTGTTGGATGTTACAAAAACTGGTTTATCTTCTTTCATCTAGGAACTGGTTTCTTCAAGGACCATCAGAACCCATTTTTGGACATTAAGGAGAATGCCTGTTCAACTGAAGGCCTGCCAGAGAATAATAGTACCCAAGGGAGCCAGTCAAGTGAGTCTGGCACTAAACTGGATCCATCAGAAGACCCTTGTTCTCAAGTTGATCGAACGGAGGATTCTGAATCCTCAGTTAGTCGACAAGAAATTTCTTATACGAAAGTGGATCAGTCAGAGTCTTGTGGTATTAGAGATCAGTTGAGGAATCATGACGTCCCTATGGATCAGTCAGGTGATGCTTGTGCTATTGGAGATCAGTTGAGGAATCGTGATGTCCCTGTGGGTCAGTCAGGGTTTGCCAGTACCCCACTAACTGACTGGGCTAACTACTACAAACACAAAGGGTTTAGCTTTGACTCACCCATTGCTGTACTTCTACAGTGGCCATTGACACTCTACTACATACTGACTAGCTGTCTACCACAGGATTGTAAGTGTAAACAATGTTCAACTGAGACTTTTTAAATGCAAACAGTATTCATCTCTTTCTTCACTAGGAACGAGCCCAGGGATCATGTGATGTTGCTTATCAAATTTTGCTTCAAAATAGTTTAAATTGTGTTATTGAAAACCATTTAGTTTTTCTTTGCTACTTGGTAATGGTATTAACATTGTAATTTTTCTGCAGGTGATCCGATATGTATCTTCTACCTAGAGTTATTCCCCTTTTTGTACAATGTCAATCACTCGAGCTTTGTTCAGTAAACTAGCTTTACAAACCTCTCTGTCTGATCAGACATTTTGTATATTATGGATACAATGTAGGGTCTTCCATTTTCATTCCATTTATTAAAGGTTGATGTCAAACCATTATACATCCTCAATCCCTATGAAATGGATAAACTAATTAGTAGGAAAGTATAATTAAAAGAATCCTCAATGGAATCAATGTTTTATTCAGAAGCACATAAATGTATACAGGTTCATAGAGTACAAGCAGTGAAATGTTTGTGTGTGATGTTTTAATGACTAGTAAAGGTATATGTACTCTGTCACCTTCAGACGAATGTCTAGTGTGTGTACACTAAGGTGTAATTAATGTATAACATATAACTATCTAATGGACAAGTTGATTCAGCTACTTTATGTTTAAAACTTGGTCATAGGTTTGCATGAGTCTATGGGCCCTCTATGATATGAGAGAGCAACTGTTCAAGTGGCAGATAAAGGAAGCCTTTCGGATAATATGCCACAGCAGGCCAATTCTGGATCTATATGAGAGGCTCTTAAACACTTGCACATCTACGACCAGGCCCATATTTATGAAACAGTTCTCATGCTCAAGCATGGATTTTTTGCTCAAACCAACTTTCCTGTAACTCACTTAAATCATGTCAAATGACAAAAGAGTCAAATGCAAACATTGAAAACAGTATTTGGCTTTAAGTCTCTTCAATTGTTTTTTCCAAAACATTGACAAAATTAAATTTGATTATAAATTTAAAAATGGAACAAGAACTTAGGCCTGAGCACAAAATACATGCTTGAGCATGAGAACATTTCATAAATACGGGCCCTGGCACTTAAAGTGTTGTTAAATCAACTTGTCAATTTTATTGGACTAGCCTCGTCTGTCTATACACCCATGATACATTATGTGTGTATCGACAGACTAGTACTTGTGCATACACCTTACCGGCCATTTTCTGATGAAATGACTGGGTATATTATACTAGTCAACCAAACACCAGTATACAAACAATCTATATTTACCAACTGAAGAAAATGTTACTTAAAAGAAGCAAATAATGTTTTACTCCTCAATGATTAGTAAATTAAAACCTTACATATAGGTTCCAGGTACATTTAGGAATGACTCCTGTTTTATACCTAATCATACGATCTTATCTCAGATGGCTGCGGATTGGCTGAGGACAGGCCTGTCATTCTAGACATTCTAGGAGTGGAACAGGAAGTAGACCTGTATCCAGTCTTTCAGGTAACACATACTACCTCTCGTCTCATTTCTACATCTGTCTTAATTTTAATAGGAAGTGGGTTACTCTAATTCTGTCTTCATTTTAACAGGAAGTGGATTACTCTACTTCTGTCTTCATTTTAACAGGAAGTGGGTTAATCTAAATCTGTCCTAATTTTAACAGGAAGTGGGTTACTCTAATTCTGTCTTAATTTTAATAGGAAGTGGGTTACTATAATTCTGTCTTCATTTGAACAGGAAGTGGGTTGCTCTGCTTCTGTCCTCACTTTAACAGGAAGTGGTTTAATCTAAATCTGTCCTCATTTTAACATGAAGTGGGTTACTCTACTTCTGTCTTCATTTTAACAGGAAGTTGATAACTCTGCTTCTGTCCACATTTTAACAGGAAGTGAGTTACTCTGCTTCTGTCCTCATTTTAACAGGAAGTGGGTTACTCTACTTCTGTCTGCATTTTAATAGGAAGTGGATACTTCTACATATGTCAACATTTTAACAGGAAGTGGGTTACTCTGCTTCTGTCCTCATTTTAACAGGAAGTGGGTTACTCTACTTCTGTCTGCATTTTAATAGGAAGTGGATACTTCTACATATGTCCACATTTTAACAGGAAGTGAGTTACTCTGCTTTTTTCCTCATTTTAACAGGAAGTGGGTTACTCTTCTTCTGTCTTTATTTTAACAGGAAGTGGATAACTCTGCTTCTGTCTTCATTTTAATAGGAAGTGGGTGTCCCTTGTTCTTCCTTATTTTAATAGGAAGTGGATACTTCTAAATATGTCCACATTTTAACAGGAAGTGAGTTATTCTGCTTCTGTCCTCATTTTAAGAGGAAGTTTATAAATCTGCTTCTGTCTGCATTTTAACAGGAACAACAATTGCTACTTTTTAATGAGTTTATACTTCACAGTGACATACTATTAGAAACAGTAACCTTTAGAAACCAAGGAATAAAATTCTCTCTAAATCCTTCTTGAAAACTTATCAAATTGCCTTGGCATCGATTTATATCATCATAAGTTATTTGCACACATGCCAATATTCAACGATACATATATAATGAGGTCACCACAAATGGGCATTGGACTACATTTTTTTTAAAACTTAAACAACCATGGGACATCTTTTTCAAATGAAATATTCATGAAATTAACATGTTTTTCAATTTTTTCATAAAGTCACGTGTGCATGAACAAGTATAGAAAATTGATTAAAACTCAATGAATTATAACTTTTTCCTTTGACCATATAATTCAAGACTTAATTTAAGACCATGCAGTAGATATACCGTTACATGTATACTCTCACTCTCTTCCACTATCTTCCTACGCTTCTTACTATCTCTTAAGTATGTCATATGAGTCATTTGTGCACAAAGAAAATTTATGTCAAAGCCAATATTTGTACAGGTAGATTTTGTCAGATATGGAACATGTTAGATATTTGGTTTGCATCATATGTTTTCAATAATTTACATGGAGATATAAGCATACTTTTGAATGAACCATTTTTATGATAAAAGAATTTTTATTGCAACTATATACATGTATTCTCTTGTATGGGACATTGACTTTTGTAACAAATTTGCAGATATGGGACAGATTTTTTTATCAAGGCTATATGACATCCAATTTTTGTCTTAGTAAAAGATATTGTGCTGGTCCCATCCTGGTAATAATTATTGCCTTGTTCCTAATTTCTTGATTTGTATGAATAAAAGTATTTCAGTAGTCAGAGTTATTCCGATTGTTAAAAACAGAAGGTATAGTCCTTAAATGGCAGCACATGTCATTTCAAACAATGTAAACAGACGACTTTGCTGAGTTTGCACTCCATGTAATATCTTCTGTTGCTACATGAACTCACCAATTAATCATCTGTAGACAAACTATGCTGTTCACTATACATCCTAAGTCTACATCATGACCAAACATGAGCTGTTCAAACGTTAACAATTTAGATGTATTTGTGAAGCGAACCATTTTGGGTCCCCCATCCTCAAATATAATCATCCTGAACCATAATTTAGACATTCTTACACATTGCCTGTGAATCCAGTTGGCTTAAGTGTAAATAGTATAATGGAATCATACCATTTTACATATACCATAATATAACATAATGTTTTTTAAACACGGTGTACTCAATAACATCACAACAATTATCCCTCAGAGGCCCCCCATTGTAAAATTCAACTAATTAGTCGCTTTTCTCATCCCATCACACCAGCTACATGGAAATAAACCTTGAATATATCAGATGAATGTCTATTTACATAACAAATTAACCTCATTCAACTTGTGCGAAAGACAAACATACACTTGGATGTAATGTTTTTAAATACCTATCAATATCATAAACAGTGTTTTACTCTATTCAATATCTGTTTTACTCAACTTCCTGCCAGCCTTCTAAAAGAAAGAATAATAATACATAAAAGGTTCTGGCCCCTGTTGCTCAAAGGTTGGTTAGAGATAACCAGTGGTTGGGGAAAACAGTTAAATATGAATACATCGAAATCAAGAACATCTGATATCACGCATATTCCGTCTTTGCGTATTGCAGAGTTATCTTCCCTTGTGAGCAGGTATTGATTGTTACGTCATTGGTTTGTGTGAGAAAATTATGTCGTTTTCTAAAAAATTGATGACGTTACTCTCACAAACAAATGACTAATAGAATCTTTCACCCCCTTGGGGGTGAGATAGGAGAATCTCAACCCGAGGGGGAGGATTCTTAAGTTGCCAAACACGAGGCTTTGCCGAGTGTTTGGCAACTAAAGAATCTTTCCCCGAGGGTTGAGATTCCACTATCTCACCCACAAGGGGGTGAATGATTCTTTTTCTCTTACCCTGTTCTTTCATTGTGTATCATATGCACAATGTAATGATAACGTTACATGCTAAATTCAGGGTTGACGTGACGTTGATGTATTGTTGACGTGACGTCATTGTATTGTTAAAGTGATGTCATGCCATTGTTAGGAATAGGGGAATCCCCCCGTCTCAACCCTAGGGTGAGACAAGGAAATCTCACACCGGTAAAAATGCCGATACACCTGTCCAGGGTAAGAGAAATAACAATGAATACCTGCTCACAAGAGAAGATAACTCTGCAATACGCAAAGACGAAATATGTACGAATAAGATTCATGTGTTTTAGGACTTATTTTCCTTTGAAAGCCCTTGCTTCTTAATTTTTAGCAACTATTTGAATTTTTCACAAACCACTGTTTAAAGTTAATGGACCATAGAGCAACCCGAGTCTCATTGCTAGGGTCGTAATTTTCCTCTTTGAATACCTTCCACCTGCAGTAATGCTTCCCCGACATTATCCTTTTGGTATGATCATTTGACCACTTAGCATCTCTTCACTTTGAAGCTGAGGCTATACCTGTTTTCACTGACACTTCCTACAGCAGACCAATTTTGTTTACAATAAAATGGTGTGTAATGTTCATGTCTTATTTGATGTAATGCAATAAACAACATCTCTATCTTTGATCAACAAATTAGGATTTCCATATTGTACTTCAATTTTAAAGTAATAATACAGTTTTATACGCCCGTGGAAAGACAAGATGTATTATGTTATCACGTTGGCAGGGCAAGCGGATGGCTTGGCAGGGGCGCTTGGTGTCCGTGCTTGGTGTCTGCTCGATGTCGTCATCAATTTACAACAGATTAAATTCAAACTTCAAAAGAAGGTTCATAACCACAACAACTCGGACAAGGTTGATAACCACCAATATCTGACGCTAACTTACAGAGTTAGGGCCCTTTATCTACAGATGAACAGGTTAAATTCAAACTTCATAGGGACGTTTATTACCATACAATGGCCAGCAATTAGTATCCCATCATAATAATTGGAGTTATGCATCCTGAATATTTCACTATGATTAATAGAGTTATTCCCCTTGGTTTCAATAATGCAATACTACATGCATTCCATGATGTTGTATTTCACTTATTGATCTATCATGCTTGAAAACTTATTTCTCCCTTACCGTTAATTAATCAGAAATATTTCATATTTCAACCATACAAACAACTGGTCATTCAACATGTGACGGGCATATTGTACACCGCTTTTGCGGTGCCCTTGTTATGAATATATTTCAGCAAAATCAGACAGTCGTCATTTTTTATGCATTCATGTGGTATATATATTGGGGGG